CACGAGTCCTTCAGCTAGAAGTAGCCAGATCAGTCTTCACCCCTTCCCCTCTTACAGCAGTTAGGGATACTTCTTCAGAGGGGAATATTATAGATAGCTAAGTTAGGTAGAAATATTGTAGGCAGTCAGACAGGGCTGAGCCCTAGAGAGGTCAATGCAGAAGACAACTGTGGCTGGAGGTGCATTCACTGAAGGCCAGGCTTCAAGAAAAAGAAGAACTAAAAAAAAAAAAAAAAGAACTACTCACCTATATACTTCCCCTAGGGATGAACAGCAGTGATGGATATTCTTTGGTCTTTTTTTTTTTTTTTAACTATTTTTCTTTTGGTACTAGGAATTGAACTCAAGGCCCCACGCTTGCCAGGCAAGTGCTGCGCCGCTGAGCTACATCTCTGACCCCAATGATGGATATTCTAAGTAGGCGTTAAATCACCTTGGGATGGAGGACCAAATCTTAACTCACCCCTTCCAGGAAAAGCCTTGTCTGTCCCATGTGTACTTATTATGTGACTTGTTTGCCCCATCTGATCCCCATTTAATCAATATTACCCTAGTGACTATAGTTGTTGTAATCTTATTGGTTGACCATAGTTTTGTCCTACCTCACACTCATCCTGTGATTCATCATTGGATCAACATTACCTAAGTGACTATACTTGTAATCTTATTGATTGGTTATAGTTCTGCCTCACCTTAAGCCCGCCTCACCTTGTGGCTTTGCTCAATAAAACACCCTTGAGAAGTGGAGTTGGTGGGCAACCCACCTTCAAGGCTCACTTCTGTCCCTCTCAGATGGAAGCTTTTTTTCTCTTAATAAATTCTTCCTACTTTTTTTTTTCTTTTTGAGAAAGGGTTTTGCTATGCAGTTCAGGCTGGCCTTGAACTCATTTTGTAGCCCAGGCTGGCCTCGAACTCACATATCCATTCTCCTGTCTCAGCCTCCCAAGTGCTGGCAATACAGGTGTGTGCCCCTATGCCCAGCTTTCTTCCTACTCTTTTTTTTTTGTACCAGGAATTGAACTCAGGAACTTGGGCTTGCCAGGTAGGTACTTATGCCACTGAATTATAACCCTGGCCCATCTTCCTACTCTTAAAAAAAAAAGTTTCCCTCCCAGAACCAAACAAGATCTTTTATTTTTTTTCTGTTTCACCACAGGGTTTGTTGAAATAGTCTAAAATTTCATTTGCAGATAATCAATTTTCCTCTTTAAACATATATGTTGCCAGGCGTGCGCCAGCACGCCTGCAGTCCCAGCACTTGAGAGGCTGAGGCAGGAAGATCGTTTTGTGAGTTTGAGACCAGCCTGGACTACAAAGTGAGCTCAAGGCCAGCCTGAACTGCATAGCAAGACCCTGTCTCAAAAAGACAGAAACAAAACAAAAAAAACCCAAACATATATCTTTACTGTTTCAGAAATCCTTTCCAAACAATAGCATTTTGCTCCACAGTCGCCTTCAAACAATCATTTCATTAATCTGTTTTGTTCATTTTGTACCACTGTTCTTTTGCGGGTGTATCTTCCCTCAACTTGAGTTCTTGAATCTTAAAAGTTTGTTATCTAATTACAATTAAAAGTTTAGGTTTTAGACATAATCTCAGCTATGGTACTTACTGCTGTGCAACCTTGGCAAATTTCATAACCTTTCTGTGCTTCAGTTACCTCATTTAATAAAAGGATAACAACAGTCCCACTTTCTAGAGCTGCTGGAACTCAGTGGAATAAGGTGATGAATAAAGAGGTGGGAAAGTGAAGAATGTAGATTTCCTCCCTCTGCTGTCTCTGAAGAAATTTCCACCACCAAACCCCCACTACTACCCTGCATTATTCTCCTCTCCCTCTGTGCCAGCACCCTTCCCTTAGGCTGCATACCTGCTTGAGTCTTTCCTCTATTGAGGAAATAGAGTCTTTCCTCTATCGAGAAAAAAATATTTAACCATTCCTGCCTGTGCTTTGCCTCTCTCTTCCATAGCTAAGCTTTAAAAATAGTGGGCCACATGCCACGTCTACACTCCTCATTTGGCACCAACCTGCTGGCATTTGGCTTCCTACCAACTCCACCATGAAATGTGCACGGAGTTAAGGTCACTGGCAAACACCATGCCTTTAGCACTCTAATCCAGGAAGTTTACATATGCAGGTGATATGGCAGTGGTCAGGGACAGGATGACCCTGGGAACTGCCCACTAGGGGCATTGACTGACAGACTTTGAACAAATGCTTTGCTCAAAGTTGATTTCTCATAATTTGTGTCCCCTGAAGGGCTGGGCCATGCAAATGAGCACATGTGAAGGGGCCTGGAGAGGAAGCTCTGTGGAGGAGGAGTCTGTAAGTGCATGTATACCTGCAAATGAGATGGACACACAGTCCGGGCAGAGGGGACAACGTGGGGAAAGGCCAAGAGATGGGAAGCTATGGAGAGTTCTTTATGTCCCAAGGTATGAATGCACCCAGGAATCGGGGGGCAGTTGGGGACCCTAAACACATCCCCAGTCCCTGTTTTGTTCACAGAGCACAGGCACCTGCTAACCTCTCCTTGTACAGTAGTTATACCTCAACTTCCACACGCGGTGCTTCAGTTCCTTCCCAGTTCTCTGACCCTCTTAGACTCTTCTCTCAACTCTAGACTGGGGTTATTGGGGTTCCCTGTTTCTGGAGTCTCTCACCGGCCCACCTGCCTACCCAGCTCCACATTCTGCCACACACAGGACTCTAGAACCTTCTCAAGTGTCTCAGAACCTTGCACTAGTCCCCTCCGCTGGGCATCTCCAGCTAGTCCACAGCCTTTTCTTTTCTCCTGCCACCCAGCCCCCAGGCACTCAGGCAGTGTTTCCAAACTCTATTCTCAAGAACTCTCTATTAATTCCAGCACTCAGGAGGCTGAGGCAGGAGGATCCTGCCCTGAGCTACAAAGTGAGATCCTGTTCCAAAATAAAACAAAACAAAACAAAAATAAAAGAAAACAAAAAGTTCTAGTGCAGCCTGGCAATGAAGGAGATTTAGCAAGACTGTCTCAAAACGTTAAAAAGGGCTGGGATGTAGTTCAGTGTGAAAGTCCTGGGTTCAATCTCCAACACTGCGAAATACAAAAACAAAAACCACATGGGATCATGATTTCCATCACGGAGATAAAAAGCAGGCACGGAGGCACTGCTTCCTCAGGCTCAGGAAGAGTTGAGTGGTGATGTGTCCCCCAGGCCCTGCTTGGGAGTTTTCCCAGCAGGTGGTAGAAGCGTGCCCCGGCACCTGTGGGTTTAGTCGAGAGAGTTCCGGCCAGTTTAAACAGAGGAAGGATGCTGAAGAGCCTCAGAACTCAGTGAAAACCTTAATGCCAAGTCTCTGGAAGAACAGCCCCACAGGGACCTTGCACTTGGGAGTCTGCAGACACCTTTCCATGCACGCTCAGTCTGTGTCCAGTCTCAGGAGGCACTCGAAGGGATATACACCTGGCCCAACAGCACAGCTCCACGGTGGTACATTTTAAATTATTTTTAAATTGAGATACAATTTACATAACATAAAGTTCACTCTTTCAAAGCACACAATTTAGCGGTTTTTAGTATATTTTACAGTATAGGCCGTGCAACAATCACCACTAATTCCAACACATACTTATCACCCATCAGCCATCACCTTCCCTAGTGCCTGGGGCCACAGATCCACGTCCCATGTTCATTGATTTGCCTGTTTTGGATATTTCTCGTAAACGGAATCAATACGTGGTTGTGCCTGGGTTCTAGCATTTTTTCAGGGTTCATCGATGTTCCACCTGGAGTCTTCTCTGTTACACATGTGTTCATTTTGTAATGATCTAGTGCATACACGGGGAGAACCCGCTCGAAGAGACCGACGCCACCGCAGCGCTCGCAGCCATCAAAGACGTGCAAGCAGGCGCCGGGACCGAGGAGGGGGACGCAGGGCGGAGGAAGGGACTGGGCTGCGGCACTGCGGTGCCTGGCCTTCAGGGCTGCGCTTCACCAGCCCGGTGAGTCCCACCTTGTGCGTCACCTCAATCTGTCCTCTGTGAGGAGCGCCAAGAGTTGACGCAGAACACATTTATTGAGCGCTTACTGTGTGTCCAGCGCTCGGCGACTGCGGTAAGGCCTCGGGAGCGGAGGTGTGTGCAACGGGCTCTCAGAAAACGTTTGGAGCGCTAGTTGCTCTTGCTGGTGTTTTTAGTGCCCGTGACTGTTGACTAGGGGGGAGACTGGAAACTGAAATGAGAACCGCGGAAGCACGCGGGGACACCGGCCCAACCTGGGGACGCGCGCACCAAGCGGTCGGTGAGGGGCGGGAGCGACGTGAGGGACCCGGCTGAGGGACCTAGCCTCCGCCTTCGGGGGAAGGAAGGCGGAGCCGCCAGAGCCCGCCCATCCCGCAACGCCCACGGCCTAAATTGCGCAGGGAGCGGTGCCTGAGGACCCAAGGGCGCGGGATAGAGCTTTCCGACGCCACGCCCCGCGCCTTCCTGGCGGAGCATGGGCGGAGCCTACACCCTCCCCGTCCCGCGGTGACGCCACGGACAGGGGCGGAGCCCGAGCAGCCCGCCCCTCCCGCCCCGCTCCACGGCCCGCAGGGCCGTGGCGCGGGGCGGAGTGTGGGCAGGGTCCGCCCCCGCGCCGCGG